AGAATATTTACAAAAAAAAAGGATGAGGACAAGTGCAACTGAAGCTACAAACTTTAGCTTCTGATCGTAGCATTTCAATGCCAAAACCATGAACAGATCGCAAGACAAAGCACTTCAGAAAGCAAGACCTGCAGTCTCAGTCAAGGTGACGGGTACTGACTGCAAAGCAGAACACGTGTTACAGTCCTGAACATGTCTGCAACCAACTACTGTCATGGTTACAGGTTGCTGAACTGGTAGCTACTGTAACAATACTTGGCAATACAGATAAAAGATCATTTACAGGAGAAAACAATTTTTTAATACCATCTGATAATTGCTAGAGAGTTCTCCTTACTACAGCTCAATTCACTAGCAGAACTATGACTTTTACTCTCACTCTTAAGAGCAGGTAAAGGATATAAGCCATCCACAGGGGTAACAAAGAACTCTCACACAGACCATTTACAGGAAACTCAACATTTCTGATGACTCAGCAGCACAGTCAATACGCAGGCTGAAGCTTGAAGCTTGCTGAAGCAGGCTGATATAGCAAAGTATTTTGCACCTTACAATCCAAACAAATGCATGTCTGATGAATACTACAGAAAATTGGACCAAACAAACAGTCAGCTAAAGAACAAAGCCAGCTTACAGGAACTGAGGTGTGGACAGAAAATTCCTTCCTCCTAAATCCATTGGATATTTAAACATTAAGAAGAAATACAGGTGTCCAACAAGATTTCCTATCAGCTCATTGATGACTCTGCAAGGCAAAAGAAAAAGAATTATTTCACATGCTGTCTTCTCTGAAAACAAACGAGTGACCATCTTCTGCCAGTTACTACTGCTCCCCTGCCACTGGCATTGCCGGGGCCGTGAGCCACAGAAAATCTCCCTTCCCCCAGCGTTTTGCAGCCACTTCTTTAGAAGGGCCATCCTTCAGCGCCAACACATCAACAGGCTGTTCCAGCCTCCCTTCCAAGTCTTCCCTACAATCTGTACTGAAAATGCAATTAAGCACTTGTTTACATCAGGGAATTAGACCGTACAGCTATTAGTGCCTAAAATAATAGTCTGCGGAGCTTGAGCAGCTACTGCCGTTTTCTCCGGACAACCTGTCTCCTGCTGTAGACTGCACTGTTTTGTTCCCAATTTTCTCAAAACACTGCTGAATGGAGGCCCTTGAGTATCTTCCATCATGCATAGAAACAGCGGGTATCTAGCAGCAAGCAGTTTTCTCAAGTGACGGATGAGTCAGTAGGCGGCACAGCCAGCAAAGGGAATTTGGTTTTGCTGTGCTATCTCCTTTTATAAATCAAACATATAATTCATTATTGTCAGTAATTGTGTTACAGCGGCACCTAGAGGCCCCAGCCAACCCAGGGCACCAGGGGGAAAGACTGTGCACAGAGTGGGCTTCCGCATCACGGAGTTTAATCAAAGAAACCCAAGAAAGACCAATGAATTCAGCAGGTGCTAACGTGGCACTCTGTGGGCTAGATATTACCATTTTCCCTTGTTTCACAAGCTGAAAAAAACAACACACTGGGCGATACTGCAAGGGAAAGAATTAATAGCACTATCAGAATCAAGTTAATTTGTTTCAAAACCCAGTAATGATGGTCGGTCACATGGGATGACATCTTTCTTTACTGTACATTACTCTCTCAGTAAGGAAAAGGTGTAATGCATAGACTTACTAGAAAATAAACCAAATTCTTATTATTTTCCCCTCACCTACATTCTCTAGTTCTCACAAGCACATCTCCTCTTTGCTTTTATTTTAAACGACCACGATGTGACACTGAGCATTATCAGCCAGATTATACAGCTTTAAGCCTCTTATTTTAGTATTGCCTCTAAATGCAGCAATAAGTTCAACAGTTATAAAAGCATCTTTAACTTCAAACTGGCCATATAAGTAAATACATACGATCCACCAATGATATAGTTGAATCCCAGAATAACCCATGGAAGGTAACAGGCCTGAAAAAGAACGCAGTAGAGACAGAAGTTGTAAGTATAAGTGAAGGACATAAACCTGCTGATCTTCCCACTGCAATAACAAGCAAGATTATAATCTCAGTGTTTTAGGCGTTACACAAATCCTGATACATTAACTTGAGCAGATTCTACCTAACAAGGTAGGATACTCCAAACCAAGCGACCACAAACATTTTTAGATAAATCATACTCATTTAAACATTATGTGTGGGCTGGATGAGTGGTCAGTGAGGTGGACTGAGAACTGGCTGAATGGCAGAACTCAGAGGGTTGTCTTCAGCAGCACTGAGTCTAGTTGGAGGCCGGTAACTAGTGGTGTTCCCCCAGGGGTCAGTGCTGGGCCCAGTCTTGTTTAACTTCTTCATCAACGACCTGGATGAAGAGTTAGAATGTACCCTCAGCAAGTTTGCTGATGACACCAAACTGGGAGGAGTGGTGGATACACCAGAAGGCTGTGCTGCCATTCAGCGTGACCTGGACAGGCTGGAGAGCTGGGCAGAGAGGAACCTGATGAAGTTCAACAAGGGCAAGTGCAGTGTCCTGCACCTGGGGAGGAACAACCCCATGCATCAGTACAGGCTTGGGGCGGACCTGCTGGAGAGCAGCTCTGTGGAGAGGGACCTGGGTGGTGAGGCCCCATCTGGAGTACTCTTTCCAGTTCTGGGCTCCCCACTTCAAGACAGATGAGGAGCTACTGGAGCCCAGCGGAGGGCTATGAGGATGATGAGGGGCCTGGAGCATCTCTCCTGCGAGGAAAGGCTGGGGGAACTGGGCTTGTTCAGCCTGGAGAAGAGAAGGCTGAGAGGGGACCTTACAAACGCCTATAAATATCTTAAGGGTGGGTGTCAAGAGGATGGCGCCAGATTCTTCTCAGTGGTGCCCAGTGACAGGACAAGGGACAATGGGCACAAACTGAAGCACAGGAAGTTCTGAATGTGAACATGAGGAAACTTCTTTGCTTTGAGGGTGACGGAGCACTGGAATGGGTTGCCCAGAGAGGTTGTGGAGTCTCCTTCTCTGGAGATATTCAAGACCCGCCTGGACAAGGTCCTGTGCAGCCTGCTGTAGGTGACCCTGCTTTGGCAGAGGGGGTTGGACTAGAAGACCCACAGAGTTCCCTTCCAACCCCTACCATTCTGTGATTGTAAGCAGATGTGTCTTCTGCACTCTGTGTTCCACAGCAAGCTTATATCTGATTTTGAAAAGGTCCGGAAACAATCGTCAAAAGAGTTTTCACTACAAGATCTGGCAGAAACCGATGAGGTTGCACAAAAGAAAGAACAATTTAAAGTATCAACATTTTGTCACTACAGTGTCACTACATTCAGCTTTTATTCGGGTTAATGCTTTTCAGGAATTTTTTCCTCTTTTCAGACAAATGCATTTCAGTTGTCAAGACATTTTTTCAGTAAAGCCACACTGAGTAACATTGTATGGAAGACCATGAAAAAACCTATCTTTGCTGCACCTCAAGGAGTACATAGCCATGTGAAAGCACAGGACACCTTTAATAGGAGAAAACATTTCTATTTCGCCCCCCACCCCCTGCATATGCATCTTCTGGGCAGAAACGCAGAATACCCAGTCTGACATACCTTAAACCTTGTTCCAAACCAAAACGATACAATCATGTCTCTGTTCAGCTGGGCCCACACATAAAGTACTGACATGATGAGTGGAATCATCAGCAACTACAATGTTAAAAAAAAAAAAGGTTAAAAGTTACCATTACTTTTACAGAAGCCTGAGAAACTTCAACAAGCAGCAGGAGCTATAAGCTTCAAAAATGGCTTGTAAGCATGATACATCAGCAAAATCTTTAAAGATTGTGCCAGAATCTTTGCCACCACATGTCATGGATCTGCTCAAAAGCTATAGAGAAAGTTAAGCAGAAGAACCTACTCTATCATTCTTTTTGCAAGACCATGCCAAAGCAAAGGGCTCCAACTTGCACTAAGTGAAAGGGGAGCTGTGGGGAACTCCCAGCTCCCAGCTGCTTGGTAGCACACCTACAGCAGAGCCAGCGATGCAAGCACTTCCATTCACAACCCAGAGCACTAACCCAAACACACAAGGCCAGGCTGGATGGGGCTTTGAGCAACCTGGTCTAGTGGAAGGTGTCCCTGCCCATGGCAGGGGGGTTGTAACTAGATGATCTTTAATGTCCTTTCCAACCCAAACCATTCTATGATTCTATGACACTTATTTGGGGCTAAGCTCATAGGCCAGCAGAAGTGCTACTCCATCAAACTGCCAGCTACATCCTCCTCAGAGCACCGCAGAGGGAAGGCGCACTGGCACTCCAGAGTGCTGCAGCCAGCCTTGGCAAAGCCACCTTGGTAGAGCTCACAGTCAACCCGTGCTCCATGTCAGGAGATGAGACTGTCAAATACCTCCTTATGGTGACCATATATTAACTGATTGGACTATTTCTAGTGAAACAAATATAAACCGCTATTTTAGCTAACTGCTGATTTCTAAACTGAAGACAGACTGTGCCACCAGCATTTTCATGGTTTAATGCTACGAACCAGCTCGTGTGTTTGGAAGAGAGGTTAAAGCTCATGCATTCAGGGGGTGCCACTATTTAACAGGTTCCACATTAAAGCTGGCACACCAGCATCAGTCCAGCCTTCCCCAAGCCCCACGGTGCATCAGCAGTCTGACTTGTCACACAAACATCTTACGGTCTTTATTAAAACCGTTTTTATTTTACTCGAAAAACAAATATCTAATTTCCAAAAGTATTTGACACAGGAATAGAGGCCCAGCTATCTTACTCTATCCTCTCACTTTTGAGCAAGCCACTCAATACAAGCAAAAAACCCTGGTTCTAAGAAAAATACATCTGTACGTCAAACAACTGATTATCTTTTAAGCAATACTTTGTATGCAGATACAAAACCATTTTAAGTACCTTTTCAGAAAGATACAAGCCAACAAAATCAGACTTAAATTCATACAACGTATGGGTAACTTCAGCATGCTTTTGAAGAATTTTGTGTTGTCTTCCCCACAGCAAAAAAAGTTTAAGTGCAAAGTTATGGACAGCCCTTAACAGAACTCAGTCCTGACTGCGGATGCACAATCAGTATTTCTGTCTATCAGGGGAGCCTGACAAGTGATCTAACAAATGCTACGATAATATTGTACTGAATATTATAGATATTGGTGCAGGCTTTGGGTGACAGGGACAGAGTAAGATGAGAACAGCAGAGGCAGGCTGAAGACATGCAGTTATCTGATACTCTGTTGTGTCCAAGAAACACTCCCCTGTTTCCTTCCTTAATATTCGGGGAAGATAAGTTTCAATCTCATCAAAACTGGTTCTTCAGACCACTACTTCAATCACTCTTGTGAGGATTTTGCACTTCACAGTTCTGACCTGAATCAGAAGCTTCATTTTTCACAAGACCTTCTGTCAGCAAGTAAAAGGCATGGTCAATTTGAGAACACTAATGAACCCAAGAATCATTTTTAGATAAAAAAGAACATGGATCCACATTCATTAGAGGAAACAGTGCATAGGTGACATCTGGTGTCCGTTTTAGTAAAAGGCTGTACACTTCCTGACAGCACAAAGAGCCACTTTTCACTCCTTGACTCCCAAACTACGTTAGGAGTCACAGAGTCAGATACAGGCTTCTGATGTTAGCTGAGGCTAACCCAAACGAAAAAACTAACAATACACACACAGCAGTCCATTTTGATACAAACTACACCAGCCTATCTTAATTACGTTCTGCAACGATGTCGATAATGCTCTCTATGAAGTCACAAAGTAGTCAGAAAACTCCAAAAGATTATTATTTAAGAAACTGCACCTCACCTGCATGTCCATTACCAAGCCAGTTATCTGTCATTGCACAATTAAGGAAAACGCAGCAAAACCTGATAGACTAGAATGACAAAAAGAAGCTGCACACACACCAAACACACATGCAAAGGCCTTTAATGTTTAAAAATACAACAGCGTTCCTGTGTAGTATTAAGTTAACCACTGGAAAAAATTAAAAACCTCCAATGATCTAGAGACTTAACACACTGAGCTTCAATAATTGCTTTTCAATAGCCTTTCAAGCTACCACCTCAAGTCATTACCCCGAGGGCTGATGGGTACATCATCAAGCAAGTGAAGGAAAAGAAGGTTATCAGGAGTAGTCAACATGGATTCACCAAGGGGAAATCATGCCTGACCAATCTGATAGCTTTCTACGATGGCATGACTGGCTGGGTAGATGAGGGGAGAGCAGTGGATGTTGTCTACCTCGACTTCAGCAAGGCTTTCGACACAGTCTCCCATTACATCCTCCTAGGGAAGCTCAGGAAGTGTGGGCTGGATGAGTGGTCGTGAGGTGGATTGAGAACTGGCTGAATGGCAGAACTCAGAGGGTTGTCATCAGCGGCACTGAGTCTAGTTGGAGGCCGGTAACTAGTGGTGTTCCCCAGGGGTAAGTTCTGGGCTCAGTCTTGTTTAACTTCTTCATCAATGATCTGGATGAAGGGACAGAGTGCACCCTCAGCGAGTTTGCTGATGACACAAAACTGGGAGGAGCAGTGGATACACCAGCAGGCTGTGCTGCCATTTAGCGTGACCTGGACAGGCTGGAGAGCTAGGCACAGAAGAACCTGAAGTTCAACAAGGGCAAGTGCAGGGTCCTGCACCTGGGGAGGAACAACCCCATGCACCAGTACAGGCTTGGGGCAGACCTGCTGGAGAGTCAGTTTAACTAATGGAAGATCCAGCTGTTTTTTAAAGACTAAAATGTTAGGTTTCCAACTAAAGAAATACCAGATCATACAAAATCCCACTATATTGTCGCTGAGTCACAGAAAATAAACAATTTCTTTAAGTGCATCAAGGCGGACTTTTAAAACTACTCTCCTACGTTGGAATCCAAAGGATCTACTTGCTGTAGTAACTGCTCAGTAGAAACAATTGCTGTAGAATTTTGCTATGATCAGAATGGTTTTAACAGTTCATGAATGTGTATATAATGGCAGCAAGCATTTTACAGATCATGCATCCAGGACGCTCCTTACATCACACAGGGAACAAGCAACTGGAAGCTTTTAAATGACCAATTTAAAAGTCAAATCACTATCAGATTCATCAAATATCTCACAGCGAAGCTGATGGCTTTCTTAACAACATAACTAAACCCACGTTGTTTTGCGAGTTACTGCTGTGGCTCAACAGGACTAGCAGGAATAGCAATTCCCTCCACGCAGTGGAATGTGACTAGAGATTGTTAATCTACTGATAAAGGCGACAGCATTTCTACTCACTAGCTCTCCTGGCTGTATCTGGTTCACACTGATGTCACCGCTCCCATTTTTCCACATGCTGTGCCACCACAAGTTACTACAAGAAGGTAGCAACAGCACAGACAGACTGGGAGCATCTCCAAGGATGGAGGTTCCACAACCTCACTCGGCAACCCATGTCAGTGTTTGAGTGCCCTTACAGTAAAAAAGGTCTTTCTTATATTTAAATGGAATTTTCTGTGCTTCATTTTGTGCCTGTTCTGTCTTGTCCCACCACTGGGAGAAGCTTGGCTCCACTCCTTTTGCTCCCTCCCCCATCAGGTATTTATCCACCTGGAGTCCTGCGTCCAGCTCTGGAGCCCGCAGCACAGGAAAGACATGGACCTGTTGGAGATGGTCCAGAGGAGGCCACAAAAATGATCCGAGGGCTGGAACATCTCTCTTGTGAGGTAAGGCTGAGGCAGGTAGTTGGGGTTGTTCAGCCTGGAGAAGAGAAGGCTGCGAGGAGACCTTATTGCAGCCTTTCAGTATATAATAAAGGGCACTTATGAGAAAGGCAGAGGCAGACTTTTTACCAGGGCCTATAGTGACAGGACAAGGGATAATGGTTTTAAACTAAAAGCGAGTAGATTTAGACTGGACATGAAGAAGAAATTCTTTACTCAGAGTGGTGAAACACTGGAACGGGCTGCCCAGAGAGGTGGTTGATGCCCCATCCCTGGAAACATCCAAGGTCAGGTCGGACGGGGCTCTGAGCAACCTGATCAAGTTGAAGATGTCCCTGCCCTGCTCATTGCAGGAAGGTTGCACTAGATGAACTCTAAAGGTCCCTCCCAACCCAGACTACTCTGATTCTATGATAAGACACCCCTGAGCCTCCTGTTCTCCAGGCTGCACAATCCCAGGTCTCTCAGCTTCTCCTTGTGTGACAGACACTCCAACCCTTTAATCATCTTTGTGACCCTTCACTGGACTCAATCCAGTATTTCCATGTCTCTCTTGTACTTGGGAACCTGGAGCTGGGTGCAGCCACCCATATGTCTCACAAAGGCTGAACAGAGAGGAGTAACCACCTCCCTCAACCTGCTGGCAATGTTCTGCCTAACGCGGCCCAGGAGGCCAGTGGCCACCTTTGCCACAAAGGCACGTTGATGGCTCGTGGTCACCTTGATGTCCAGCAGGACCCCCAGGGCCTTTTCTGCTGAGATGCTTTGCAGACTGTCAGTCGCCAGCCTGCCCTGCTGCCTGAGGCTGTTCCTCCCCAGGGACAAGACTCTGCACTTCCCTTTGCTGAGCTTCGCAAAGATTCCTGACCAGCACACTTCTCCAACCTCTCAAGATCCCTCAGAACGGTAGCACAACCATCTGGTCTGTCAACAACTCCTCCCACTTTTGTATCCAAGACCTAAAAAAAAATTCAGGTAGAACAGCACAGCTCATGGCAAAACTGTTTCTCAACATCCTCAAACCACCAAGCCCAGCTTCTCCAGGAAGCTGGCTCAGCACTGCTATCGCAACACTGCTTTCACAGACTCAGCTGACTTGTACCCAGCAAGTGAAGGATCTTTCCATGGGGCACCTGAATTTCCAGCTCAGTGAACGGCAGAGATCAGACCTGTTTGCACATGGCAGCCTGAACACACTAAATTCACTCTTAGTCCACACAGCAACCCATAAAAGTGGTTAAGCGAAGCAATACAGCGAACACCACGGAAGCTCACATAGCACGAGCTGAGCTCTCTATAGGCTGAACTTTAGTCCCCAGATTACCTACCTGTATTAGCACACTTATTCGTATTCTCCCTGCAAGCCACTTGCTACCTTTCCAGGAAGATTAAAAACTCACCTGTGAACATTTGCTACATTTTAAAACTGTCAGTTGCAAAAACCTGGTCTTTGAACATATTTCAGGCAGAAATATAACAACCAATATATTCTAAAAGTTTGATGATGAGCAGAAGGATACAACAATGCAGATCCAGTTAAAGAGGAGCATGAACATGTAGTCTGCTGGCCTTCCATCAAAAGCCCCTGTAAATAAAAAGAATTGTTACGAAAGATACTTAAATCTTGATAAGAAATTAATGTCTTTTTTTTTTTGCTTTTAAGAGTCTAAGAAAAGCTTAACTAGTAACAGTTGCCCTTCATGCAGTGTGTGGGTTATCATTTTTGTTTTTTAAATTTTAAAAGGCTTTATAACAGAACAACCTACAGGACCAAAACATAAGACATTCATCCTACTGCATTAAGTACACACGCAGCAGCTCTACTTAAAAAAAGAGCTCGCTAACTCTGAAGATATGTGGTTTTAGCTTCACAGGACCTCAAAATGGAATTGGATCCCAACCTTCCTAAGAAGCTGCCGGTCAGAAGCACACGATAAGAAAACGCACAGCAAAAGCAGAGACACCAAGTTTAATGATCGAGTCGCGTAAAAACCAGTCCTTACTTAGGCAAATTGCATCCTCTTTGCATCATCTAGTCAAACTCCAGAGATACCATAGTTTTCAAATGCCAGAAAATTAACATACTTGACAAGGAGGGTACACATGTGCAGTGCATTCTGTTCCTTCTCCTAAGCTGAACTGCTTGCCTAGTTTCCCATTTCAAACATGTGTCAACTTATTTCAGGACAGTGGAAACAAAAAAATAGAGTAACATTCCCTGCAGGTCATATTAAATGCAGTTATTTTTAGATGTCCAGTTGAGTTTGGGACTTGGCAGACAGAAGGGTTAAAAATCCAAACGCCGTAACAACTCCTTGCTAACACAAAAATTGTAAGCTCTCTCTCTTACACACTGTGGTAAAAGGCTGCCATGGACCTCAGCATTTGAGCAAGACTCCTGTCAACTTTCATACAGCTCCATGCAGGCAAGGAAAACCTGAGAATACTGCCGAAACAGACCCAAACCACACAGTGACAAACGCAGCGCACCACAGACGAGCTGAATTACATGCTAATAATTAAAAATCAAAATGCCTAGAAAGAAGGTCACTGCTTAGTGCTAGCACTATTTGGCTTCCTACAACTACTTTACATGTCCCCTAAAATTTGAAGAAAGAAAACCTATTTTTAAGATCTACCTTTTTAGATTAACTTGGCATTTCAGTCATTTTCAGTTTATTATTTAAGTTCAGCCATGCAAGTTACATTATGGAGGAGTGTGGGAGAGGGTGGGAACTGACTTTGAAAAATCTTTTGGAAAGTTTTGAAGTTGGAGAACTACATAAACCAGAGTTTTCTTCTTACTGTTGCCACACAACAAATCGAAACAGATACACAGAGGAAGCTGGCTAACCCCGCACAAAGTCCAGCACAGGAATTCCTCTAGAACAGGAAGAAATCCAAGCAAATCCTATACCCTTAAAGTTTTTCACCTCTCATTATCTAGGACATTAGTAACAAGAATATTAGACAAACTATTGAAGTTGACTTTCCAACGAATATCTAAGAAAACTGAGCTACAGACTGCCAAGAAGCTCGGCACAGGGGTGAGGTGAGCTCTAGCCTGCTGGGTCCTTCAGCAGGGCCCAGGGTACAATCCACCCATCGGGAAAGAGCTGCAGACTCATCACCTCATCATTTGTACTGCCTGGGAGCGGACTCTGCATATTCTGCTTTCTCTGTTGATATTTGCTATGTTCTTCACCAACAGAAACAAGACAAAACACATCAATCTCCTTTTCCTCAGGAAGGCGGAGGTCAGCTTGTTAGGAAAGCACAGGCACAGTACAAAACCATATGTATGTTTTCAACAGCTAGATTTGAAGCTAGCATGCAACACCCGTGTATGCTCAAAAAACACACACAAGCCTGAAAATAGAAGTTTCACTTCCTCAGTTTTACAGACAAAAGGAGACATAGACCTATGATGATTTCCACCTGTAAAAATAGTATCAGCAACATCTACACCTCCCACTTTCAGAAGGATTCAACCCTTTTTTTTGCAGAGAGGAAGGACTGACCCAAGCAAAAACTCGATTTATACCCAGAAAAATGACTGCAATATAAAAGAAATGCATCGATTCAAACAACAACACAGCTGACTTCCCAGTTTCAAAATCCAGATGTGTTGCATAGCAAGAACGTAAATTTACTGCTGAAAGAACTGCCTTCCTTCCATAAGACTTCTGCCACAGCACAGACAACTAGAGCATTTTGGAAGTGTATGTACAAGCAGCGATGTCTTATCATTTGCATGTATTAATCAGGAACTCTTACTACACATAGCCTTGCACAGTAGAATGTCGTAACTGCCAGTACTCTCACGTGACCATAATCTAGTGCAGAAAGGCCCAAAGAGAAGGAGGAACCATTTCTAGCCATTACTACTTACTTTCACTAAGAAAACAACCGAATACAATCTGACACCACTCCTCCCTTTCCCTGCTACTCTTCTTGTAACTTAAAAGGGATTTCACAATACTGTCTGGATGACAGGTTTACCAGGAAACTCTATCGTGAGAGTTCCCAAACATCACCTTGCCATGCATTTCCACTTACACCATCAGTTCTAAGACTCCATTAGAACTACGCTGAAATTCTTGTTCATAAAGGCTTTCAGGAGGAGCTTGGCTTTGCAAATACTTCAATGTAATTATTTATTTCAGTGGAAACAATTCTTGTCTAGCTTTAATAAACTGTGCAACCCAAAACGAAACCAGTTCTGAAGCTATCTGGTAACAACAATCTCTTTGGTTTTTTTTGAGAAATGATCCATTATCTGATGTCCTCTCTTCCACTTCCCCGTAACTGAAAATCCAACTAGTTCCTCAACTTTTTCACATTTCTGTTTGGCAGAGAGGCACACTTCACTTGTACAAGGTATCTCTCAGTTCAACATAACTGACAGAATAACACAGGTAAACATCACTGCCTTTCAAAAAAGAGAAAAAACTGGCATTGTTATTTTCTCAAGATGAATATACCAATTATTACATATTGCTAATAACTCTAACATCTTTCTGTGCTAAAGGACATCAGAGATAAGAAAACAGAGGTAACATCATCTTTTAGTCTCTCTCCCTCATTTTCTGAAATCCAACAACTAAAAGCACCAGGCTCTCCTACTGAAAGAAGCATCAAGTTCAGATCCTGCATGAACAGGCTCCCTGCCAAAAGAAGGAGCCAGTCACAGACAATCAATTTTCAGAGCCGTTTCCCATTGACCAGCGTAAGTGGGCACAGAGATGAGCCATCTTCCTCATGATTCTGCCTGAATCAGCCACAACGCCAGCGCCACAAACGTTCCCAACAGCAGCTCTAACTGACAATGCTTAGTCTCTGTCAACTCCAGGCAGAGTTCACCATGTGCATATAATTTAATGGGTAACATACCTGTTTCTAATCGTGAAGAATATTGATACAAGAAATACAAATTCACCAAGTAGAGAAATCCTGTTCCCGGTCCCACTGGGAAGAAGAAAGTTGCAGTTATCGGCCGCCAGATCTGTCCAGATCAAGAGAGAAAAATATATTTACATATTGTAGAATGAATTCATACGCATGCCTTTTGTTTTCATCCGTTATCAATTACTTAGAAGATCAATGAGGAGATTAAAAATAGCCCCCAAGTATCAATTACTGTTGCTTCAGCAGCTTTTACAGGTGTTTTGTCTTGTTTTTAATCTGATAAGGAAAGCTATTAAGAATACAACAGAAATCAGACACAACTTCCCAGATTGCTTCCACCACATTGGCGCAGTATTGAGTCTTTAGCACAGGGCAAAAGGGATATGCTTGCAGGGACGCTACCATATTTTGAAAGCATGCACACAGACCCCATTCTTACCTGCTCTACAGGGGCCAAGGAATTCACACCACGGCCTTCAGCGTACTGATACCAACAGCAGGTGCTGCTCTGAGCATTTTGCACCTACTTTTGATCTAGAGTCTCCCAACTACCAACACTGGGCACAGCCAACCGTGCGGCAGCATGCAGCAAGGACAGAAAACGCCTGGCCATTTGTGAATGAGCTCTTTAACCAGCAAGATTTCCAAACAGGGTACTGGGATACCGAACACCACAGTTCCAGAAGGAATAACAGAACTAGAGGAAAAAACAGCTGTTTAAGCTAGTAAATTCTGGGCACAATACATGAAACAGACTACGGATACAGCTATCTTTTAATGTTTTCTTGCACTCAGTCTTTTTCACTGAAGATAAAATGAGCACACATAAAAGAAACTGAAAGCTTGGGATCTCTTCCTTCAATTTCATTTTCAGCTCATCCAACGGGCGCTCTCCCCCTACACACCCAAAACACCAAACCTGTAACCTCCCAACGCAAGGAAAAAGACCAAGTCCAGCCTGTGACCACTTTTGCTGTTGCTAACCCATCCAGAAACACCACGTATCGAAATCTCAGGCCTTCAGTTGTCAGCTTACTTCAACCACACCCAGGCAGAGCAGCTGACACTCCCAAACACAAGCTTTTCCAGATCCCGAGCAAGAAGGTGCAAAAGAGACGCACTTCTTTAGCTCTGCCCTCACACCTCCAGAGGCACCTGTGGTTTAGGACGGCTGCACGTCTGCCTGTAACCCCTGCGCCCAAAGTGGCACCCACACGCTCGCACAGCAGAGGCTGGGCAAGTCACCCGGAGCCACAGCTGTGGGTTTGATGGCTACCGACACCGCCAATGCCCACCAAATCTTCACCCCCCCCCCCCAAAAAAAAAAAAAAAAAACAACAAT